TTGGTAAACCGGTGTACGATTTAGAGTACGCGGACGACACCCTTCTAATTTCGGTTACGCCGCCACAAATGGAGGAGTTTCTTCGCACAGTACAATCGGAGGCCTCCTTGTACGGCATGGCCCTTAACCTTTCGAAGACTGAAATTTTGCAGGGCCCAGAGAGTACACCGCCCATTTGTTTTATAGACGGTACTCAAGTCCCAGACGTAGATAAAGCTAAGTATCTAGGTTCACAAGTTTCCTGGACGAACCCTTCCAAAACCGCCATAGACGCACGTAAAGCCTTGGCACACTCTAGCTACATGAAGCTGCAGCCCCTTTGGCGAAGTAGGCTAAATTGGCGCACTAAGGTCCGAATATATCAAGCGTCAGTGGTTCCATCTTTGATATATGGATTAGATTCCCTAACGTTGGAGACTCGCCATTTAAAGACCATTGATGCTTGGTACTACCAACATCTTAGGAGATGTATGGGCATTAAGGTATCTTATTACTCCCACGTTACAAACGCCAGGGTATGGAAGCTAGCCGGAAGCCCAGAAGTCCCTTCACAGATACTGACATCCAAGCAATTAAAACAATTTGCTACGGCATTGACTAAACCGCCTACCGACCCCATACACCACGTCCTCTTTGCCCCGGGATGCAAAGACAGAGTAAAATATACCAAAGGTTCACGTAGAGGCCATCCCCAAAGGTACTGGTTAGAACTTAACCTCGAAATAGCTCTTCCCATCCTGAGAGAGTATGCCGAGTACACCGCTCAAGCGTATCGTAACGATCTTATAGGTATAAAACATATGCTTATAAAAGACACAGGGTTCGAAGCATATCTGGTGACTGCGCCCACGCGCCGAAAAGGGCTCTTTGCACGACATGTTAAGCATCTGGGATGCGCATGGCAGCCATAAAAAAAAAAAAAACTAACTTTCAGCTCTACAGAATCTTAAATCGGAGGGCAGATGTTCAGGTAAGCGCCATGGTTGCTGGCTGGGTTTTCAACATGGCAACGGACGACGTGGCATTGGACACTGGGCCAAGTGTGGGGGCATGGTTTTCTGGGGGACAATTCCAGCTCTTGCAGAGCCGACAAGCCCGAAACCCTGTAAGGTGGGCTAACGATTTTTGGACTGATCACTGGCTTGAGGCCCCACGGTTGGAAGTTGGCGGAGTAGGGCTTGCTACTCAGTCTCTGCAGCCTTCGGGTTGAGGGTCTAGGACTCTGGGATGTCTAAAGACTTTGATTCGGAATTCGGAGGGGGTTTAGTAGATGGGGTGTCATCAACAATTGGGGCCTGAGATTCTCTAGCATATTGTTCCTGTACAGTCCCTGGTTTGCGATGAGGGTTTAGCAGCTATGCATGGGATAGCTCTAGGTCTCTGCGCTCTTTGTGGGGTTCAGGATTTCAGGGTTCAACGTCTGCGGTTGAAGGTCAGGTGGCGGCTCTCTGTACTCAAAACCTCCGAACCCAAAAGCATCTCTGTGTAATTCCCAAGCTGCAACACCCCTAGATATCCCTCTACGGCTGACAGGCGCTAGACCCTAAACCTTAAGCCCTTGTGTTGTACAAATTTACAAAGCTCAGGCTGCTGGCTCCACACTGATGCTGCTGCGTGCTCTGCGCAGACGGGCGGCTGGAGATGATCTGGACAGAACAAGCAGCTTACAAGTTCCTTCTTTGTATATCTCTCGTACTGTATTTATATATATATGTAAACATGTACACATGTGTGAATTGAAAGTCTCCATGGGGTATTGGCATCATTTCCCAAATTGGCGAGTCCATGCGTTGAATGAGGGCTATAGAGGGCCTCACACCTCCCTGTACCATGACGGCCCATGATTGGGTTTTATGGTTTGGGTTCAGGGAATTGCGTTTACGGCTTTAGATTTTTGGGTCAAGCGTTGGGAGTTCAGCGCTCCAGTGTCAGATTGGATTTGTGCATTGTTGGTGGAGTTTGTCTCGATTAGGGTTTGCCGTGTAGGGTTCCCGAGCTGGGCCTCCCAAACCCTCGGTTGTGCAACGGTAGGCAACCTCAGCGAGTCTGGGTAGTTGCAGCGTCCCGTCCATCGCCAGAACTCCTTGTTCTTGGGTGGATGCAGGAAGCCTGACGTGGCTTTACGCGACTTCTAAGAGAAGGTTCTCCTTCACAGACTCTCAGAAGCTCCAAAACAAGCATGCGCAGAGGATACTGAGACGAAGTTCGCGCTGGGAGCCATCGACTACTCGATTCTCATACTGCCGCCCTTCAGGAGGGAGTGCATGCTTGGTTTGAGCTCCTACAAAAGCGACTTTTGTGCTCCGAAAGCAGCATGTGAACTATCGTACTGAGCATGAAGTCTAAAAGTCCTTCCCGCAAGCATTTGGCAGTCCCAAACTTGGTAATTGGAAGCCCAAATTTAGAATGAATAACCTCACAGTCATAGTCAAGGTTCATTGGGCAGTTCATCCTGGTGGGAGCCACGGTGGACACTGGCCTTCCCCAGAAACTGCAACTGGTCTTGAATGAAATGTTGCACCTTTTCGAAAAGGAGAACATCTTCAGTTAACCTTGGAAGCTGCAATGCTGCAAGAGGGATCCCACTTAGACATTTTATGTTGGGTTCTATGCTTTTGCTTGTAGGGCAGGGGTCATTCTCACTTACCATGACAAGGCCTTTGAACAGATGGTTTAAAGGGTATTTAGTAGTACCATGAGATATTCGTAGCAGAAGCTGGGCATAGCTCGCACAAGAGGAACCTGACAATTTCCAGAATGATTGCTTGTTATCCTACTACCCCTGCATGTTTTTGATTTATACAATGTAGACAGAGATTATGTGTACGCACAACCATTCAATAGGGATGTATTTAGTCCCTTACCGTTTGTGAATGCACGTTTGCTCTGTACGGCCCCGAATCCTAAAACCGAAGCTGCTTAAGGAAACTGCTTCTGCGGTTCATGTGGGGTCCTGGCTGGGAATACCTTGTTGGTCCTAGAGGAACTCTAGACAAAGATGTGTGGCAACAACATATTGGCTACAACCATGAACTCTCGGACCGGAAGCATGAACCCTGAGTGGTAATCCCATGATCCTGAAGGTTGAGCTCTGCGCCAAATCCAAAAGGCTTACATAAAGCTTCCACGCTGCCTTTTCCCGCCGCCTGCTCTCCTCTCCACGCTAAGTTTGCGAGGTTTCAGGGAATTCTCGGGCCATGTGCGGAAGACCTTGCAGCAGGACCAGGTGATGAGTCTGGGTTTTCGTGTGATGGATTTAAGAAAGGTTGAGGACTGTAGGGTTTTGCGATTTACGACTGGAGGCTTCTGTAATGACGGTCGCGTTTTAGGTGTATTTTTTCTTTTTGCTGCGGTTTGGTGGTACTTTCAAGTTTGCTTTGCTATGACAGAAAGGCTGACTTTCGCGTGTAATGCTCGTGTAGGAGGTTGCCGGAGCTAGCAGATTCAGCCCACTCCGATCCAAATCCCTGGAAGAAAGTCGACGTAAAGAGCCCTACAAACTTGTACCCTTCAACATCACAAGCCTGGACATTTTAACGCTGAACTTAGCAGAGCGAATAGGCTGCCTCATTTGGTTCGCAGCCGTCGTGTTGGTCCTCTCCAACGTCATTAGCAACGTGCCGGTCATCCTAATGATGCCTGGCTTGGGTTTATGTCCCCTGATTTGGGACAGTTGGCTACCTTTTGTGCAGTTTTCGGTGTAGGAATTTCCTGAAGAGATTCAGAGAAGGCCATATGAATATGATCCTTCGCCCCGAGCATCTCTTCTTCCTTGTTGGGATCATGTGGCATTTCAGGTGCGGCTTTAAGGGTCATGGGCATCAAAGACAACTTCAGGGTCTACTGATGCGCTCTATGTCCGGGATCTTTTCCCATGCAGACATTACAGTTTGATGGTTTTGAAGGGCCAAGGTTTGCAGCCGAGATGGATTTCTGAAAGCAAGTCTCCATGCTGCAGATCGAGAATAGACATTTCTAAATCTGCCTCAAGCTTCTGTTGATGATTGGCGCCGTGTAAGTTCGATTCTCCTCCTTAACCCGGCTGTCGTACGATTTAGATTTTTTGGATGCTCGTGCTAGTCTTGTTCCTGCTGACTTGTGCTTCGCCCACTGCCGCTTGTTGCTGTAACTGCTAATCTAGTCCTTTCACTACCACTGTACTATCTCCTCCTCCTCGCTTTTTGCCACGCTTGTATACCCACCACCACCACCACCGCCGCCGCCGCCGCCGCAACTATCATCCTACGCCATCCTGGCAAAGCCTGAGTCCTCAAACTCTGACACTTCAGGCTGCAGCCTCTCCTTGCAAGCCAGCCTTTGGGCAGCGTAGCTGGCGTCTGGACCGTTTGTGCATGGGTGGCTACGGTGTCAGGAGCCTCGGCCTCGAGCTGCAAGGGGTTTCAAACGGCTGAAGATATAAAGGTTTTGGATCCAATGGTTCGTGGATATCTTCTGATTAAGAGCTGCGTGGCTAGGCTAGGCTAGTATTGGGCACTCTTTGAATCAATCTGCCGCATTTGCAGGCCTAGGTCGGCCTCAGGGTGCGCTGAGCCTTAAACCATTGGCTTCAGGCTAGAAAGCAGGTCGGTCTGTTACCTGCAAGCCAAAAAGAGGAGATGCAGCTGTACTGCTGCACCTGTCTACGCTGAGCCACAAGCAGCCTCACCCCTGACGATAGCTTAGGAAATCTGACCATGCTGGGAAGTGCCGCCAACCTCATCGTCGCACATGCCGCCGAGAATCAAGGTGAGACTTGTCTGTGATTCACTCTGAAGTCTTTCAGAAATTACCCTAAATAAGGGCATTTCTTTGAGGGCGTCTTATGCATGATGATCCGTAGCATGCACCAGAACCGCTTTTCAGATAGTGCCCTCGTTGACATGAATCCGTCGCCAAGTGCTCCTTGAGGAAACCCGATGGGGTCTATACAAAGGGCCACCAGCGTTTACAGGTCTTATCAAGGCTGTATCTGTTGAACAAGTCTTTTTTGGTAATGTCTGGATATGTTCTCCGTGGGGGGGGGGGGAATGTTGTTAGTATTCTGGGATGTTGTTAGTATTCTGGGACGTTTACAAGCACATTACGTTTCCTGAGCACCAGCGTAGGGGACTCGACATTTGAGAAGCTCTACGTTGAGTGCAGGATTTGATCGGATGCATGGTGGGGTCAAGCTCTTCATAAATCTCCATTCACGCACTCAAAGATCATGTCTGGCAGTTTTGCAATATCATGTTTGGTAAGCGCATAGACCGTTTCTCGGGACAATTGGTGGGTGCATGTATGGTGGTTGGCATGTAGTAGAACCAGCGCCATGATGGTATTATCTAAGCTTCAAACCATACAAGCTCCCTTTGAGGCAGTAGGCTGCTGCTTCAGAGATACATGGCTCCAGGCAGCCAAGTCAAGGCAGTTTCTTTACTGCTTGTTTCGTGGACTCATAGCTTTTGGCTGTGGGGGGGACTCAGAACTGTCAACCGCTCAGACGGCTTAAAACCCGTAAGCGCAATTCAGTTTTTCAGAGCTCACAGAAGGGCAGAGGCAAGCAAAAGGCAACAGGTAACGAAACCTAAATGCAGCACGAATACAGAGATGCTATTTGATTAGCTAGCACATGTGCTGCATCAATGGCCTGTGATGTAGATGCCTGCCTTACTTCGAACCCTGAACCCTAAACTCGGCAAAGCTCGACACAAAACCGAGGAGCGGGCCCTCACGGCTACTACGTACAGCAAGTTTTCCTTCCTCCCCACCACAGTCATCACTCTGCTGGGGGTGCTGGTCATGCAGCTCTGCTCAAGCCTTGGTAGGGCATTGAAGGATCTTGGAGCAAAGGACACGAAGATCACAAGACGGGAATCCTTGCGTTCTAGCACGCTCCCGATTCATCGTGGTTGTGTTTAGCCAGGTTTTGGGGCTCCTAGCCCTCACCTTGATGGTATATGCCTCAAATATTCCTCAACATACTTTTCTCATGACGGGGGGCGCTGAGAGTCAGGGTGTGATTCTATCTGTCTCTGCCTTCGTTCTCGCGGCAGGGTTCTTCTGCTAGGCAGGCAGGAAGCACGCCCGGCCAAGATAGTGTTGAGGAGTTCTGACTTTTGCCAACTACTTTAGTCGCAAGTGCATGGGGATTTCTATTTTGTCATGAGTCCCTTTTCTGGGTTTTTCTCGGGATTGCTCTGATGAGGTCTTCCAGTGATACCCGTGGAAAAACATTCCAATCTAAACAGACCGCTCCTACACTCCTACAACCCTAAGCCTGAACCTGGAACCTGGAAATCCTGAAGCCCCAAAATTCTGGCCCCAAATCCTAAACCACCTTTCATCTTGACCGCTCAACCCTTAAGCCCCCAGATCCCTAAACCACAAGGCCACCGATCGGGCCTACCTGGGCCTACCTTCCAGCCCTGGCAGCGCTGTTGGGGGCGGGCCTGTGCCAGAGCTAAAGACCTTCACAGCTTTGGGGTTTTAGTCGTATGATTTTATACGACTCAGGATTGGGGAATCCAAGGAGTAGGATCTAGGGGTACATTGTTCAGTGTTTTGAAGGATGAGGGTTTCGAACCCAGGCTTCAGAATTTAGGAGTAGGGTTCAGAATCAGGCGTGAGGTTTGAGGGGACAGCTTTGAAGACGAAAACGGCTTGTTTGAAGCTGCTTGTCAGTCACTCTGTGCTCGCTTGGCCGAAAAACTCAAACTGTGCACCTGAAACACGTCCCATTGGAAGACAAAGCATTTAAAGCTAGGATATGTGAAGCAGCCATGTCGTGCATAAGTAAGCCACAACGCTAAGGTCGAAGCCGCAAACCTTGAACCCTAGTCCGAAACATGGTCTTAGTCTGCCGACCGGAAGGTTGGCGCTGGGAGTCTACCTCTGCCAGAGTTGTGGCCATTCACAGGAGGAGGAGCAGGTCGAGACGGGTTGGCTCCTCGGCTTGGTTGCAGGAAAGTTTGGGGTTCGTGGTTTTGAGTGTAAGGTTGAAAGTGTCCGTCCTTGAGGGTTTAGGGCTTATAGTTTGGGTTGCAGTGTGCTACCTTGTGTGAAGGGCGGTCAAGGTTTGCGAAAATGATCCACATTTTTTGAGGAGGATATGCTGTCATCTTTTGAAAAGTCAAAGCCGCAATGTCTTTGTGTGAACAGCTGTGCAGTAAGAATGCGAGAAAGACTAAATTAGCGCTGCAACCAGTACATCTCAGCCGGCTGAAAAAATTGCTTGGAGTACAGGACTTCAGGATGCCAGACTCAGTCTTCAGCTGGCTTCATACCCTCAGCTAAGACAACTAGCTATAGTAAATCTTATCGGGACGGCTTGTTCTAGGTATCTTCTGCGCCTGAACATGCTCGACGACTGATGCGCAATTCCCCGCCCCCGCCTGTTCTGGCCCATTTGAAGCGAATAGGTGTGATATCATGATAGTGATAGCAGCAACACTCCCAGAAGTAAACGTATGAATCGCAACTTCGCATGGAGACACGCGCGATGTACCAAGGCTTCCGGGATTCACGGAAGTGGGTTGCTGTATCTCCTCTATCAACAGCAGGTCCCGCAAAAAAAGTCTCAGATGCGCTGTAGAGTCTGATTGAGGCATCAGGGTTGTAAGGTTAGGGTTGAAGTCTCTCACGATTGCGACGTTTAGAGTTGTTGGCCCAACCTCAGCGAAGCGCTTTGTCGAAGGGCCCGGACTTGGACTAGCACTTGGAGTAACCATTCTATGATTCGTGAGGTTAGCTGAGGTAACGATAGCGGCATGTACAGCTTCAGCCAGGATGGCATTCAGGTAAGCGGTGGAACTCCTATAACTTACATAATGGTGCACACCCTATACCCTAGATCCTGAAACCAAGGCTCAAACCTAATTCAGACCCCAAACCCTGGTAAACCCTTCAATGCAACAAACAAGCAGAACCTGATAATCTTCATAAACACTTCAGGAGCTGGAGGAATCGAGAGGCCTTGGGCCTCTTCCTGATCTCTGGCTTTGTAGCCGGCCAGCCTTTGGGCCCGTACGCAGCCTGGACTTCCGACTGGCAGGGATCCTTCTAAATTGAAATATAGCACAAGGTGCAGCTCAAACTTTTGGATTTAGTCCAGTGATGAACCCCGGGGAGCAGGGTTGAGGGTCCGAGCATTTCGGGTCTCGGGCTACAAGCCGAAGGTACAAGGTTTAGGGCAAGGGTTTAGGACTTTGGGTTTGTGTCGGGTCCAACAGCACCAGTTAACCTCCGTACATATTCATACACGCTCGAGTTGTAATACTCGCACAATTCTTGGGCCCAAGTCCCTCCTAGAAACTGAGCTTGTATGCCGGCAAGCCCTAAGACATTTTTTGCAACAACTCTTCACCCATCTAGGCATGCGTAATTATGAGTCCTGCTAAGGTTGCATGCCTATAATAGGTCTCGTTATCTTCAGATTTGCTTCCAACAACTTCACTTGTTGGAATCGTACATGGGCGTTCTTCGGTACGTAGTGTATGGTTTCAACTCGTATTGCTGCCACCTGTCTTGGTCCTCTACTTTTTTCATATCATATTTGATCCCAGCCCTTTGATGACTCTTCTTCTGATTGGCAAGACTAATTAGTTCTGGTGCCTTTCTGCTGTTGATGACATTTTCGTTTTCGTCTTGCTGTTCTTCTTCATGCTCCTATGCCTCCTTCTCTGAAGATATGCTATTTGCCGGACGGCTAGTGCGATTCTTTTGCTGTCCGTGTCACCCATTGCTGCTTTGGCTTGCAGTGAAGCAGGGCTGGGTACCAAGAGATTGAAAATCCAGCTCAGGCTTCACCAGTCTAGTCTAGGGCACTTAGGGCTTGAACAGTTGTAGCTTCAGGGTATAGGGGTGTTGGGTATAGGGCCTACAGGAACAATCTAGGTTTCTTTTGAGCTCTGATTCCTTCATTCAGTGGTCATTGCCTTGAGTTCTATTCCAGGTGTCTAATGGGGCCATGAAGGCTTGTCCTGAGGTGCAGCTCTCAAACCAGTTCCCTGCTTTGTTTCTGGCTTAGAATTTTGACTGGAGAGTCAACTGAAAAGGTTGCTTCTAACGTTCCGTTCCGGTCTGCCATAGCACAATAACTCACAATAGCTTGAACATCAGACCTCTGTGTCCAGGGTGTTTTGGAAATCCCTAAAAAAACTACATCCCAAAGTGGTCCGGGTGACGATTTCCAAATGAAAGGACAGGATGGACAGCAAACATGGGGATTCCTGGTTCACAGCCCTGCAAAGGACCCGGATTGCGGGACAACTAGTTGTTTGAAATCATAAGGCGCCCGTGTGTAATCCTTAAACGACCTCCATAACTCCCTGTAGCCATATCTTCAAAACCGATTCCTCTGAGACACTCAAAACTTAGGAGGGCGCATGGCTGACTGCAAACCCCGTGCGCCAGTACACGCCAGCTGAACTGGGCGAGCTAAACGCTGTGCAGCAGGTGCTAGCAAAGGATTTAGATGGCTCTAAAGTACATAGGTTTCGTGTGGGCATGATTCGAGGGGTTGCATAGGACAGACAAAAATCATCTTAAGCTTCCCGTGTTGATCCTATTGGTCCTCTAACGACGTGTGTTGCAGGTGTTCCGATTCCTTTGGCTGTGTACTTACTGACTAGTTAGGTTCTCATCCTGCCGATGACACACTTCTGCTCGCAACGTCGGATCACTGCCTACAGGAATTCCTTGCTAAAGTTGCAGAAGTAGGAGCCCTTTTCGGTATGGAGCTTCATTGGGACAAATTCCAGCTGCTTGAAGTCCAGTGTCACGCTTCCATCTCAACCCCCACAGGTGAGCGCATTGCGTCCAAGTCGGGCTTAGATTATCTTGGAACTGTCCGGAGTTATGACACTTTACCAGGGCATGAGCTCGGTCGTCGCATTGGGATGGCTAAAGCTGATTTCACAAACCTGCAAAAAGTTTGGAAGCACTCTTCCCCACACTGGACGCGAAAGGTCGAAATCTACAAAGCCCTCATCGAATCCAAGCTGATGTACAGTTTGAGTTGCTTGTGTCTCTCTCTTGCCGATCGTCGCCGGTTGGATGGTTTCCGAAATCGCTGTTTGCGACGTATTCTTGGTATCCCACCCGCTTTCATTTCAAGGGTCTCAAATGCTGAAGTTCGACGTCAAGCCCATTGCCATGCTGCTGCTGACCTGCTCCTGCATCGTCAACTCCTCCTTTTTGGGAAGGCTTTCAGATCTCCGCCGGACAGTCCCATGCATTCAAACTCATTCATTCCTGGTACCTTGCAACCTGTCACAAATGCTTATGTGAGAAGAGTAGGGAGACCGAGCCGTGAGTGGATCACTGAGGTTAGAAACAAGGCTTTTCAATTTGTAGGCGATCACCGCGGAATCGCCAGACTTGTACACAATCCGTTTGTCTGGCGTTATGCGGTGTGTCAGTTCTTACGTGTCCACGCGCCGCCTGAGGTTCTCATCCTGAGTAGATTTGGATCTCTGAGTGTCGGAGGTTTGTCCGAGGAACTTTGCAGCGAGTAGTTTCGCCAAGCAAACATCTCATCAGCTAGTGGTACCCTTCGCATGGAGATTCATACCCAAGCTCCAAGGCTGCATGCGAACTTCCGCCAAACCCTATGCCCAGAGCCCCAAACCCTAAACTCTGAATCCTCCTCCTGCCAAACCAAATCCAAAGACATTGTCAGGTGCTGGTAGCCCTGATGCAGCCTCTCCTTGGCGGCTTCGTTGATGGCACAAAATGGAAGCGAAGTCTAGCCTCTTGATGTTGTGAAATGGATCAGGGTTGAGAGTGTAGGGTCCATGGTGCCCTCAGGTGTAAGGGCTCAGGCAAGCAGGGGCTTCTCGTCTGTCAGGACCAAAGAGAAGGATCCCAGATACCAAAGCCCGAAACCCTGTATATCCACACCCCCAGCCCAAACCTCCAAGACCCCCCAGAAAAGCATGAAAAGGGAGTCCACGAGGTTGTCTTTGGGAGCATCTGCGCAGCGGCCAGCATAGCTGTTGGCGTGTTCATGACAGAGTCCTACTGGCTGGAGCGTCTCAGTGAGAATGAAACGGGACTTAATGTTTGAAAGGGGCCATCAGATTGGAGTTCAAAATTTGGCGGTTCAGGGATGCTGGGCAAGATGCTCTGAACATTCGAGGTTTGCAGGATTCAGGTTTCAGTGTTAGGAGGTCTGCCAAACTTCCAGGCTCGTTCTAAACGCATCTGCCTCAATTCTGATAACCCCTAAGCTTTACATTCAACGACAGATTAGGGGCCTTGAAAGCGTATCCTATGTACCGTGCTAAGAAAGCTACACCCCAAATCAGTGCCCTGAACTCCAAAAACTTGACATTCCCTGTCATCCAGGCTAGCCACGCAGCTCCCTCAAGCTGTGGCCCTCACTTTGGTACCTCTGGCCATCAACTCCCTCACCTTGGGGGTCACAGAGTCTGGATTTACACAGCCGCTATGCAAAATTTGGCATCAGGCTTAGGGCTTAGTCTCAGGATTGTTGAGGGCTCGGCTTGAGGCTTCCTGACCACCTGGTTGGTTCGCAAGGCAACTCTGATAGAGACGATGGCATCTGTGCGGCCACCGGGATGTTAACATATCTTCACACGGCGGGCGGTGTGCGATTCCATGTGTGTTCAGCCCTTTGGCACTTATTTGAGCAATGGCACGAGAACAAGATTAAACAGTAGTAATTGCAACCAGGAATACAGTTGCTGCAGTTTCATCACCGCCGCCACCACACTCTTCCTGATCCTTCCTATCAAAGATTAAGGAAGCCTCTGTGTTTTGTTCGAACATCGTCAGTGACATAGCAGGGCCAACTTCTTGCATTACCTGCGTGTATGGCTGGGTTTCAAAAAGGGAGTGTGTAGTTTGTATGGTTGTGAAGTTGTTTGTTTGCAAACGGGTACTGCAAGACTCCCTTCATCCACTGTGCGGATACCGATTCCTACGCTCATTCCTCTTACAATCCCGACTGCGCCAACTGTTGCTGCTCCGATTACGAACGCTATCGCCATTTCCACCTTTACCAGCCACTGCCGCTGCTGCCGCTGCTGCCGCTACTGCCGCTACTGCCGCCGCCGCCGCCGCCGCCGCCGCGGCTGCTGCTGCTGCTGCTGCTGCTGCTCGTCTTGCTGCTCGTCTTGCTGCTCGTCTTTCTGCTCCTCCTGCTGTTGCTTTGTTGCTGCTGGTGGGCGAAAAGCCTTCAACCTCAAGCCCGAAAGCAAGTCCTGAGGCAAGTGGCATTGAACAACGTTGGTATCCATGTTGGTCCCTTGACCTTTTGTCCATTCTGGGCTTAGGGCTTTTAGAAATGTTCACACAAGCCCAAAGGCTTTAAGGGGCTTAGGAGGGCATTCTGTTTCAAAACTACGGGAACGGACTCAGGGTTTGCATCAGACCAATGTCTTGACACGGGGATTTGTTGAAGTTCTGGCCTTTAGCATACAAACCTGCGTAGCACAAGCACCCCAAAATTGGCAAGTTGACAATATGTCGCGGCAATATGAAGGGTTAGTGACAGTAAGTGTGCCAGGGGCCCTATTTTTTTGAAAGCGTTCAGTCATTTCGTCCGAAGCACTCCTACGATGCGAGCTCAAACCAAGCAGATTCGTTACATTCTAATGTTGCGACACAAACTTCCTCCCATTATGTCCAAGGTCATACTAAGAATGAAACCAGTTGTCTGCATCTTGATCCCCTTTGTTCATGATGTTCATGATGGGTGCTGCGCCTATTTGGGGCGAGAGCACGGCTTCTAGACCCGTGGTTCCTTGCCCTCAGTCCCCTGAGGTCCTCACAAGGAGAGCATTGTGTTAAGCTCTTGGTGTCATGAAGCCAAAGCTCTGCGAGACCTCCAAAGTTTTTTCGAGACTAGAGTCTAGCTTGCTATCCCCGTCTTTGTTTTGTCAGGACGACATATTCTTGGTGGACCTTGCTTATGAGAACAAGAATCTCCACAAAACCAAACCGAGTAAGAACGGTAGCAAGAAGCCTGACTTCGCTGCGGTCTCACAACCCCTGAAACCCAGCCTGCAAACCTCCCTGAACCCAACGCCCTTCATTCCCGTGAAAGAAAGGTACCGTGGTTTGCTCTGCTGCTATGGCGGGTCTCTCGCTAACAGGTGGCAAAAGCCACGCGGAGGGCTCCGTGGAGGCTGCGAGTGTTTCAGGGTGTAGCTGCTCAGGATTGGGTTTCGGGGTTTGGAATTGTTGAGTTAAGAGGATTGGCGTGAGGTTTTTGGTTTGGGAGTTTGGGGTTGGCTTTCGTCACTGCGGTATGCACAGCTCTGGTTCGAGTGGTTCAAGGCAAGGGATGAGGCTTCAGCAATACCAGACGGAGGTGTCTGTATGGAGCCCTGATGAATTAATCGAGCCTCAGAGCCTTCAGCCATACATTCTGGCTATACATTCTGGATGAGACCCGCGAGAGGGTTTGTGACAGTGTCGGGGCCTCCAAGCCATGCATTATATTATGAGAAACGTAGCACGTTTGCATTGAAGATACGTAGCTTCTGCTTGAATCAAATATCACTTTGCGCATTTATTTGAGTCTTGGGGCTAGTAGGCCATACCGGCTTTGTCATGAAAGGCTTTCCAAACAGTACCGGCCTGCTGCTCACGCAGCCGAGATGGTTAACATGTGTTCTAGTGGCGGCGGTGCCAGTGGTGGCGGCAGCGGTATCGGCGGGGACGGGCGGGGGCAGGGCGGGGGCAGGGCCTGGGGCTTGGGTGGGGGCGGGGGCGGCGGGCGGGGGCGGTGGCAGGTGGTGGTGGTGGTGGCGGTGGCGGCGGCACTAGTAGTGGTTATAGCAGTAACAGTTGTGCTGGTGGTTGTGGTGGTTGAAGTACGAGGAGGGGGGAGCTGCTGCAGCAGCAACAGCAGGAGGACGAGGAGAAGAAGGAGAAGGAGCAGACGTGCTCATCATAGCGCTTGTGCTGCTGCTGCTGCTGCTGCTGCTGCTGCTTCTGCTGCCGCTGCTTCTACGCTTGCGTTTTTGTTTGCATTGGGCCGTCTTCGTTTTTTGCACTTGGTATACAACAATTGCTTGCGCGATGCCAGGGCAGCAGCTTTGGCCCTCTTTGGTGTGCCGTGCCCCTGGCTGCTTGCCTGCTAGCTATACTCGCGCTGCCAATGGTACGTTGCTTGTCTGGGTTTATGCTCGAATGATTTTGGGTTTTGGGCTTTGGTGTTTTGGGTTTGACAATCTGGTATTTTTGGGATTTGCGAGGCAAGGTGCAGGGGGGCTTGAGTCTTTTGGGCATGATATTCTGGAGGATCGGTTTTTGCCTAGACATCATGTATGGAATCTCTGGAGGCATTTTGAAGGTCATGGGGTTGTAGCGGCTCTGCTAGGCTTTAGGGCTTTAGGGTTGGCAGCTTCTGACACTCTTCAGGAGGAGACTTTGTCCAATGTTTGTGCGTTTTGTTTGGGAGCTTCGGTTTTCCGGCCTGAGTGTTGCGCTTCGGATTGAGGGACGTTGGTCTAGTAGTGGGGAACAAGTAGCGATTATACACAACGAGGCCAGGGGGTTAGGTAAATGGAGAGGTCGTGTTTGTGCATTTAATTCAAACTGTAGGTTGAGGATATGTTGGAGATTGAACGGAGCGTAGGGCGCAGGGATTGCAACGCAGGAGAGAGTCTTGTAATGGGACATAAGAGCCGCGTTTGCTAAGAAAGGATTTGTGTATTTTTGAGATTGACCTCTGATCTGCCGGCAGCACCAGACTACGCCCGCAATTTCTTCATGCAATGCCGCGACTCCAAGATTTCGAGACTCCCAGCCCACCAGCTGTATCCTTCTGGCTGTCGTGATTCTCGTTCTTACCAAGCAACCGAAACATGGCGAGGGTCCAGGATTGCTACCACGCAAGGCTCCACAGGGAGGTCCTGGCCGTCGGTGATTTCAGGGACTTCATGGAGAGGTGTTGTGATTTTGGATCTAGGCAGGAAAAGGAATTGCTTTGCTTACGTGGCTTGATGGTCAAGGATGTTGCAGATGGTCCCCGGAGAATCTGGTGCCAGCAGAAAGATACATAGCACAATCCGCATGATCGGTCCTTGTGACTCCTGCTTGCATGCAATTTTGCGAGAAGCCCTTGAGTTTCTCAGGCTCTAGGTCTTCAGACCCAGGAGGCTACCTCTATACCTCGAGCCCCTAAACCCCTAGCACCCTGAAACCTCTCCTAACCTGTAGCTTAAATGCTGGCACCCATAGCCCGACCATATCCAACCGCAAAGGCTACAGCAAAATCGACCACCGCCGAGCTGCCGGACTGGAAGATACCGAGAGGCCATCCGACTTCCGGGCATTGTGCCCCGGCCAATGGGGTTCCTTTGGAGGGGCGGATTGCTACGCGGATCAGAGGCTACTGGGGTTAAAGGCGGTTTAGGGTCAAGGACCTAGGGTTCAGTGGTTGCCAGCTTAAGTTCCAGGGACCGCATTTTTGTATACTTGTATGTGGTGGCCCTTGGACTTCAGTGCATCCACATGACTTGGGACTAGGGCTTAGGATTTGGTTGAGGTTGTGAAGAAATTGGTTGCGCAGAGGCTTCATGTTGGGCCCGCAATAATAACCTCAAGGGAGCCCCGGGCCGAGAGTGGGAAGAGGAGTAAGAGTAGGAATTTGAGAAAGAGGAGCTGGAGAGATTTTAATTTGATTTCAACTGCGAGCCATGACATTTACGGATTTTTGGGCCGGTTACTTTTGTTATTACCACTGCTAGTATAAAAATCATGCCTGACCGCTGAATATGTCATAGGCTATAGCAAGAAGACTATAGGTTCACAATGCGCAGCAAATTGAAGATCCTACATGGAGGATTTTTCTGGCCAGGGAATATTTTACTGAGATTATTACCACCCTTGTTATCATAACGATGCTAACATTAACGTTTTATCTCTTAGGCGCGTTGAGACCCGGCTCTCATTGGTATGTAGGTTGCGATGTTTGCGGTCATCTGCGTTTCAATTGCCGTTGTCAGTTTCTGCCACAGTCACGGCTAACGTAAGCAGTCATAATGACAGTTCCCTTTTGGATCCTTGTCAACAGTTGTCAGCGGAAGCTGCAGGGCTCTCTGCATGGTGAAGCTTGGGCAAGTCCAATGTCAAGCCTTCTTCTTCAGATGAAGCGCCGAGATGACCGTTTTGTTTTGGTACATTTGAATTTGGGTATTTCTCACAACTGGGGCCCCAAACATTCTCCAAACAGCAGAATCACGGGCCTCGCGAAACAGTTGCACTTCAAAAGATAGGTTCCAAGACATATCATTTTGAGGGAAATGGTTCTTCACAGAAATCCCACCCCAAGTGTTGGACCCCAGCTTTGCGATCATATTGAAGCAATTCCAGCCTGCTAGAAGTCTGAAATACACATGCGAAACATTTCGCCTGGCACTTGTGTAGACCAAAGATGAGAGTGCCTCTTTCCCTTGTCTAACCCTAATGGGGAAATTGGTTTCCACCCCTGGTAACCTGGAAGTCTTTCAAAGCCCTCTCAGGCCTGATGCCAAGCTGGGGTATGAAGCGCTATTTACACGGAAGGCCAAGGGTAGTTTGTCGACATGGGTCGAACGTAACATTGATGGCAACCTTTCTCTCAGTTTTTTTTTGTGGGTATCTGTTGGGTGGATTTACGTGAGAAGTCGAGTGTTGATCTCAGATTTTCGCAGAGTACACAGACGATCCCCTTCATGGTTCCGGTTCGGACTTCGGTGCTCATGGTGGGGGTTTAAGGTGGCGTGGAGAAAACGGGGCAGATCTTGGGTTATACTTCCAAAGCAACAGAATTGTAAATAAGAATTCTATTTCAAGGAGTCAAAAGATGGGGTTGTCAGCTCCGCGCTCCATAAGGAGATGGCTCATCTCGGCACTTTGCAAGGCCAAGGTTGAACTTCGGACCGCAAATTTCGCGTTGCTGTGCTTCCAAGGGAACTCAAAGAGCAAATCTCATTATGGCAACGGCCTGGACTGGGTTGAGAAATGTGTTCTTCAGACTGGCCACTGTGTGCAAAGTGCTCAACATGGGCACGGTTCTGAGTTTTGTGTTTCTAGTTTTCTTAAGATGCGGTCTAGACAAGGGGTACCACAAATGAGCTAGCATTGAACTCTGACCCTCCTGTATTGGAGCGCCTAAAGTGCTTTGACCTTTGTGGGAGGCCTTCCTGTTGGCCTTGCTCTTATCCTTTTTGTTCAACTTCGCGAAGCTTGGGCAAATGACAGGGAAGCAGTGGGGTGTTTAAAGGCTTCACAGGCATCGAAAGTGTTTCAGAAAGAGGTTTGCACATGATGAGAAGAAAGGACTCTGTTGCTAGATTCTTGTGCTTTGAAGGGTATGCCGTGTAACCCTGTTATGATACATGGATATTCATGGCCGCAGTTCCTGGCTCATGGGTAGCGCCTAGAGAAGGGGCCAGGGGCAGAAGATGGTTGGGGTTTTCAGCTTCAGTGTGCGAGCGTCGGCTTTCGGATGCCATCCCTGAGAGATTAACGGGTGCCAGATTCCAAGAGGACTGTATTGTGCTGATGCTGGTCGTGTATTGGAGTATAACATTGTCATTGTGCGTAGATCTAGAGGCCTGCAGTTCTCGTGACTGCCTCCCGAACTCCCCAGACTCATGGCAGCTGCTAGAGATGTGTCAGCCTTGAGATAGCAAACTGCAGCATCCTCTGCCGCGAACCTTAAATTCGGAACCCTGAATCAAGTCCTGAACATAAATTTCATGGTCTCAACAGAAACTTTTCCTCCGGAACCCTAAGCCCTGAAGCTTCAACACTCCATCTTAGGCCGCAGCATGCCACCCAGCTGTGATGTGTCTTCAAACCAGAAACTACCAAGTGGGCAGTTGCCAAAATCATGTTGTTATTGATGGAGAAAGTCTTGCACAAGTTTTGGGGTGGTCCCCTTGACCCATTCGTCTACGTCGAGAAAACAAGCGCGCGCGTAGAGTTTGTGTTGGGTTACATGTGATGTTCATATGGTTGTTGAATGATTGTAAGGATTTGTAAGCCAGAGATGCTTCATGATTGTTGTGCACGCTTTCGTACATGTGGGGTAGCTTAAGTTTTCCTTACCTGTCGATATTGGGAACAACCAGAAGCAAGCCAGATTTGTTGACAGCCTGTCTCCGACCTGAATTCGTTCCATAATCTCCGAATGTGGACTGCGATCTACTGTGTAGGAGTGCAGAAAACCCTTAAGGTTCACACTGATAAAACCTTTTTTGAGAATTATCCTCACCTCTGTCATACAATCGAGGCAGGCAAGCAGTGATCAATGTTTCCTGAAATGTAAGGACCAGGACCTTTGGCAGTCGCCCCACACGTGTAATTCCCCCTCGTACCCGAACAGGTTTTGAGTGTCTGTGATTTCTCGAGGTTCCTCTCTGAGCCATTCTTAGCGCATTGTCACACGTAATCTCCCCCAACTAAAGTCCTGAAGCAAGGAATATGGCTCAGCTGCAGCTACTCGTGCAGGAGGCATCTCAAAGACGTGTGGAGCTTGGGGTGAAGATGAACTCAGCATCACCTACCTAAACATCTGAAACATCACAAGCTGCTGCCCTGGTGGAAGCAAATCTTCAGAAAAAGATATGTCATGTTACATTTAAAGTGAGCACGTAGAGATTATGATGGGTTCCTGGAAAGAGTCGTGATTATGCTGCACGTCGGCCTGGGGAGCTTCAGTCGTTTGTGCATTGTGTGCCTACCTGAGGCTGCATCGACCCAGAATCTAGAGCGTCACGCGTGATGGCAGTCTTCCCCGTGGGCGAGGGGGCGGACACGCGTGTATGGTATGGACAGGAACGAAATCAGTCTTCTTGTTGGGTGCCTTGTTTAGGATGTGCTTCGGCTGCATTTTTCGCAACGCGTGGCTTGCAAAGACGGATTGCCAGAGCATGACGAACTCCATACGGGTGAGGGTGCCACAGAAGCAAAAATTTGTTCGTGTCGTTGGGAGTATTTGACAGTGTGGCGAGTGACCATCAACTTTGTACCGGTACCACCCAGGAAGGTTCGTTTCGGTTGGGCACGTTGACTGTGCGGGTTGCGAGGGTACACGAGTGTTGGCGGAGGTCCCGCTGCTGGACTTTCTGCCGCTTGTGTGCTCGGGGGTCGCGGTCGGGGTGACCTTTGGGCGGGTCATCAGAAATTACATGGGTCGTGGAACTTCGGTCTTTGGTTCACGGCTAACTAGCCCCGAAGGCCGGAAGCTTTGTTCCCCATGTGCGTTTATGGGTGTCGAGGTTACGTAGAAGACGTCGAAGCTCGCGAAATCGTTGAATCCTCCAAGCGGTGAGACAGCAGCGCGGAGTGGTTCGGGGACATTGTCGTAGAAACGTATGCAGATGGAAGATTGGGTGTTGGAACGTGCGGGATGTTTCCGGGCTTGATTAGTGCTTCCCTTCAGCCAGGGCCAGGCGGGAACAAGTCTCCTAACACGACAGAGCACGACTCTGTCTAGCACACACGGCGCCGCGTGCCCGTGGAAGGGAACCGCCTGTGCAGGACTATGCGTTGACCATGCTTTGATGAACGTCATAAGCGACTCCGTTTGTGTTGGTAGGTAGGTTAGGTATCGACGATAGCAGTTTCCATTTACCTGACACCTTCGCCACGTTTTTAAGCCATGGTGTAGGTATTGTGCGCCTTTTTTCTACGTTGGTCTTGGGAAGCCTAATCGAAACACCTTACCATCATCATCATCATCATCATCATCATCTGTAGATCTTCAACTCTACGAATCCGAAAAGCCGATAATGCCTAAAACCTTTCAAAGCGGATCTATCGCTTCTGGTGGGCCTCTGCATTCTTGCACAAAAAGGGTTCGTAGAATTCCTGAGCAACGCCTGCATGATCCTTGGGTCCTGCAGGGTACCCCTACTTTCTTGAAGCTATCCCCCTTCGACTTGAACCGTCCCTGCGACAAGCGTGACGCAGTGAAAAGCTCTCCAGTTGCAGCAAAATCACTTGTGAGTTATCCTATATGTGGAACATAATGCCCAGTCTGCAAAACCCCGGGCCCAATCTCCGAGCTCAGGGCACAAGGGGCAGAAATGAATGATGCGTATCAAATATACCTGAGACGTCCCATACTTTAGCTATGCAAGGACTGCATGGCCGCAGTGGTCAAGTCCCTAGAATCAGTGATTATCTTGGCGGGTGTGAAAGGCCTCAGCCCTTCTTCCCGGTCAAGCCATCAGCTACACCTCAGCCGCACAGAGTCTTGCAAGCATTGCTTTGCCTTCCGCGTATATCAGTGGTTTTTCCTAACTATGCAGGTGCCGGTACGATGTCTGAGAACCTAGGTAGGTCTTGGCTTAGGGCCTTGGGAAAGGGTTGGAGGGTGGAGGGGGTGGGCTTTGTAACCACCTCGACTTGAATCACGTTAGCGGCTTTTGATGCTACATTCTGAAATGCCTGAGCTCTGGTTGTACGTATGGCCAGCATCCTTTGGGTAACAGGGTTTCGTCCATCAACAGAACGATCTGGCTTTCCTTCTTCCAATTCATTCCGAGATGGCTACAGGGATACGTGCAGACTGCAGGTAACGAGGGCGAATTCAGCACCGGGATAGGTACAACGCCAAGTGGTGACTATAGGTAGGGTTATCAGCCCAGCAATACATACACACAAACAGACAGCCAGAGAGACAGAGAGACAGAGAAGCTTGGGGGTTCGTCCCTGCGGGGCCTCGTGCGCCGCATAGCCTATAGAAGAAGCAGGGACAGAGAGACAGGACAGGACCAGACATACAGACAAACATGCATAAATTTCAGCAGCTCAGAGCTCCAAAACGGTTTCATGCTGAACTTGGAGTCCTCCCTCTGCTTTGGTCACTGCTCCAGTCAGCTTGGGGGTGCTTGTCATGTTACTTTTTGTAATGACAGATAGAGATTCGGTGCCCCGCCAACTATTTGGGCATGATGCTTGCAAGGATTGTGGCTCATCTCGGCATGTTGGGCTCCAGCGTCGTTGTTGGGAAGATGGCCGATCGAGGGCGCAAGCGCCTCTAGTTGCAGCATCGGTTTTTTTCTTTCGCAATCAGGAGGCCTTGCGTTTAAGGATTCATGTATTTTGGGGCAATGTGGGATCTTCGGTTGCATGGAAGCTATACAGATTCAGAGGATCTGGGCTGCCCTAGCAAGGAAAGGTTTAATTCTGGGGAAGCGCTATTGCGCAATTTCGGTGTCAAGGCATCTTCTGAAGACACAGGAATTGCTCTCAGAGTGATTGCCCAGAGCCTCAACAGTGCCCTGGACTTAACTACTGTTGATGAAAGCTTGGAAGTAAGTAACAGGTAACAGTCATTTGACAGTCTGCTTACATGAGGCATAGGCCTCCATGGAACCATGTAGACTTGTTTTGGCCGTCTCACTTTGCACGTCTTCTATCCTAAAGCCCCCCCAAAATGAATCCACTAAAGACAAAACCCCCTTATCAGGTCAAGACTTCGGTCTACTATTCCCCAACAGAGGTCCCACCCCAAGCCCTTGCGCTCCTTAAGCCCTGACGTGGGTCAGCGAGGCGCCTGGTTCTTGCCGCCTGCCTCACAGTCACCGTTCGTGCTTTGCTGACTGCGGCCACGGAGCCACATGGGCTAAGGGTTGAGGCTTCTAGATTTGAGGTTTCCTAAGCAGGGGCGGGACAGGGGATGACCTTGAGGGACTTCGGGTCTTGATTGGGCTTGAAAACCTAGTTGTGACAGGTGGTGCTTACCCTGCTGAAGGTTGTCAACCTCAGTTAAGAAGTTACCTAAGCACAGCCGCCCCTAAAGCAGGGTTGTGAATATAGATCTTATTTGGGCTCCGACTGGGGGGTTTACAGGAAAGATTGTTGTGGGACTGGCAGGGAGATCACGCAGAGAACCCTGGGACTATAAACATGGTTATTTTGGATTGCAGAATCTCAGGGTGTTAGTCTACTTTGGGCTGTTTCGGTCGGAGGCGATCTAAAACTGTTTGGAAGCCTGCAGTTTTTGGAATGTACTGCTCGCAAGACGTCACCTGATTGTACTGAGCCAGCCTAAATGCAAAAATCTCACGTCTTGACAGGTTCAGCTTCAACTCGAAATCTGGGGTCTTGGAGTTTGAGTTTGCATTGAGCAAGAAGCACAATGACCTAAGGCTACGGACTCACAAGAGGTTTTTGCGGGCTTCGGGCTTCCAAGTGTCTAAGAAGGCGCGAGGGTTTACGGTTTACAATCGCAAGCCTTGCCGCTAATATTAAACGTCTCCTTGCCCCTTACAGGGCATATTTTTGACGATCATGCACCAGCACCTAGACCAAGTAACTGTTGAGCGCATGTTCATTGAAGGCGGCCGGGGTGTTCATGAAAGAGAAGTGAACCTTATGCCGTAACTACATGGATTCAGCAGCCTAACAAGACAGCATGTCCCCAATGTCCAATCCCCAGCAATCCAGGCAGTTACATAATGTCTATCAAGCCCTATTCAATCTCATCAAGCCGCGCAAGAACTTTACAACACTCCTGATCGCCCCTGCAGAGCCTGTCAGAACGGCTGCGAGGCTAGTTGAAAACGGAAAAGTCCCACGCAATCCCTGTAGACCTTGCCCATGATGTTAGGCACTCCTCCCCCCACATTGAAGGTTCTGCATTTCACATCATCATGGAAGAGCCTGGTTGTTTCAACTTTGTAGGTCACAAAAAGTAAGCTGGCCCTTGAGAACCCCAAACCCTGAAATCTCCGGCCCTGAGCCGTACTACATCCACCCCTCAAGCCATAAATTTCCCCAAATCCAAAACCCCAAACCTGCAGGATCTCTGGTGGATCCAGAGGGGTGGCACCCCCTGGCTGGGGTTGCTGCCCTGCGAAGGGCTGGATGGAGTCACTTTGCTGTGCTGACAGAAAGAAGTAAGACTGTTGACGCTTTGATAGCCGAAGTTGAATTAAAAAAAGTACGTGTATTTGTACGCAAGGGGCTAAAATGTGGGAACCTACAAGCTTTCGGTAAGGAGATGCTTAGATATCATTTGCAGCATACTTGTTAGATTGACCAGTATTACAGATCTTAGCGACAGCCGTAGTAGCCTTGTTACACAAGCTGTTGGATTTGTGCGTGCCTTGTTTCCAGGTTTAGGGATTGAGGTGCTTCAGGTTTACCGCTTTTCGTTTGTGGTTCTGCACTCAGGGGTTATCTTAAGCCGTCAGGACTTAAGGGTGATACGAGCTACAATGACCAGCAATGCTGGGGCATGCACGCTATCCCAAGACGTGTCTAACTTCCATTCTATACGGTGTGATTTCAAGCTGCTATCAGATTCTTGTTCGTGCAGTAGGCGGCCCTTCCCTGACATGCTCCTATCTGAAGTGGCTCTCCCACACTTGGGAGCACTCATGCGCGCCCGTGTGACGCTTCTGTCTGCAGGTTTGTGCGGGGCTATGGGGAGCCCTGGTGGTCCTATTGGCCAGGGACCGCTTGTGTGAGTCACAACTATTTTGCCATGACAGACAAATATGCACTCCCCGGCAGCACCAGCAAGTGAGTGTTGTTGTAAAGACTGGCACCAGGTCGAAGGTTCCTGGATGAGCTCAGTGGATTTCATACTGTTTGTACTGAATCATGTATTGTCTCTAGTTTGGGTGATGGCAACATTGTGCAGGATTTCAGTAGGTCTTCGTCCGCTGAGCTACATAAACTTTTAGATACCTGTCCGGCTTGCATTGTTTGTAGAAACCATCATGCTCTACTGCATCTCCTGGAGCCTTACGCGTAGCATGCAGGATGCCGGATTGCCCGTCCATAAGTCCCATAGCCCTGACCCAAAATCCTTGGAGTAAGAAGCGCATCACAAGTCTGGGACAGGATGTATCTGCTGGCACGGGCTGCTTTAGCTTGGCCTTGGGTTGCATGCACCGCGGCTCGAAGACGGAAGATCCTTCAGCAGCGTTGTTCAGGTGATCAGAGTTTGAGATCCTAGGTTACTGAAGAAGGATTTCAGAATTTCAGCCGTGGGCAAAGAGATTTAGGATAGTTTTAAGTTGTTTTTTGAGTGTAAGGCAGTGTAAGGCTCTGCCCTAAAACGAATTAGATCTAGTACTTGAGGCTTTGTGCAGGACTGTTAGGATCAATCTTTTGGGGTTAAAGCTTGGGAAGAGTTTTGCCAGCATAGGCCTAAAGTTACAAGCAGCACCTTCGCCTCAATCCAAAGTCCTGCCATCGGCCCCAAACCCTTCATGGGGTTTCCCCGGCACCACAAGGTAATCATGAGTCTGGAGATCGAGTGTCCTACAATTCATGTTAGTTCATGTTATGCCGACCCAAATTTCCACAGCCAGGCAGGCAGCATTCAGCGCTGGAGCCATCGCTAGCTCCACGTGCGCAGGCTCCCAGCTTAAGGGGTTTAGAGCTTTGAGCTTAGTTTCGGGAGCTTGCGTTTTGTGTCTTGAATTCTGGGTTACTTGAGGGTTGAGGATTCAGATGGAAGCGTTTGGAGGCGTTGGGCTGCAATGCAAGTTTTGCTTAGGTTGAGGTCTTTCCAGATGTCCGTGCGGTTCGTAAATCTCGCCGGTAACTTCTGCTCAGGAAGTTTCATTTCTTTTCGAGGTGAGGGAGCTCAACCAAGGTACGCTCCAGCACCCCTGATCTGCAGCAATCTAATGCCGCCCAATCAGTGGTACGCGTGTGAGAAGTAGAGCACCTTTTCACGGCTGCTCACATCTAATGGCCTTGATTACACCACGTTGCCGGCTACCTCAAAATGCAGCAAGGAGGTTGTGATGTGTGAGATCGCTATGCATCCTTTTTATTTTAAAGCCCCCAGGCCCACGCTTGAGCTCGGTTATGCTTGTACGCATACCCTGGACTTACAGGCTAGGTCTCATGAGTGTCTGGCCGTTTTTGGGAACACCACCACGCAAGTAGTAGACTGCGCCCACTGCTGCTCCTCCTAATTCGCCGCTACGCTTACGAGAGCAAGCTTTTAAACCAGTAACGCACCAAACTCCGAACAGAAGGCTACCTGGCCAGCAGCGTCAATTTCGGAGCGGCCTTTGCGATGCTCAGCATGAAGTCCGTGCTATTCAGAGGTCAAAAGCAGTGTCTGTAGCAACCCTAAACCAGTAACCTTGGAATACATGTGGTAAGGCAGCCTGGGTTGTGCGAAGCACCTCGGCACACGTGCCTCAATTCGGGCATGTTGCTTAGATCACGGGACTTATGTTGGCTGGTGCAAGCCACCCTGAGCCAGGGATACGTTCTGCTCGACTTATTGGTAGTGTCTTGCAAAAGGTGAACCAAGGGGCAGGTTTTGGATCCCTTGTTAGTTTGACCCCCAAAGAGATCTGCAACGAGCACTGCTTTTTCCTTTCTGAAGAAAGTTATTGGTTTTGTGGTTTTCAGCTAGGGGTCTTCGATGCAGGGACTGGCCCTTGCGTGGGAGTCTGCGGAGCCACGCAAGGGAACCCTGATTCCCAGTAAGATTATGACGGCTCCGATTGTTTTTATCCGTACTGTGCGTCATCCTGGCTTTGCCAGGTTCTTAGCAAGAATCAGACCCCAAACCGTGAGCTCGTGAATAGATCCTCTCGGGCCGTTTGTTTGGTGACCGGTAAAGCTACCCCATGCCAACACCCAAAGGCAGTTTTTTTTCTCCAACTGTTCGCGTTGATGAATGCGACTCTTTGAAAGGATGTTGGCAGGGGCGGGCTGTGCAGCGACAGTTGTGGCAGCAATCCTTCCGGAAACGATGGAGGAGGACAGTGTGGTCAGCCATAGCCATAGTACTGACAATAGCAAGGGCAGCAAGGCTAATTAGGATTGTCATGGTGCTGATATGGAGTCATGAGGTTTCCATGGGAACAGGAGCCAAATCCTTGTAAAGTCGTCGTGAGTTTGGCCATAGCAAGAAACACAAGATCACAAGAGTTTAGTTCAGCTGGGAATAGTGTTGCCTGATTGTTAACAAAAGTAGAGGTACGGGAGAAGATGACTTGAGCATTTGATGTTTCCCATCCCGAGCGAGAAAGGCCAATACGCCACAAACACCACATACGAAGTGGAAGTGCTCTAGAGTATGCTGTCGAGCCCAAATCAGCAGCTCCTTGGACTTGCGTGTCACATCCCCAAGTTGGAAGCCAACGCTCTGAAAGCAAACTGGGAGACCCAACTTCCTCTTTGCCTCCCTGCATGCAGGCTCTTCAGCTCTCCAATCTCCAAATTGTTGGTGCTTTGTTTTGGGATGTCCTGAACCCTTCTATAACACCCTTTGGGAACATAGGGGTTTAACTTTGGAGAAATACACAGAAAACTTTGGCTTCAAAGAAACCGTAGTCTTTGCAGTGAAGGGCTTTGCGTTAAGTTAATTACATTTTCTGAGGAGGTTTCTTTCTGGTTTTGGTGAGTGTATAGAGGATTTCTTACAAACATTGGTGTGTGTACAGCAGGGGTGTTCTTGTGGAAGACCATAAGCAATCCTGGCCCGAACCTTTGTTGAAAGAGGGTCTTTCCTTGCAGATTTTTGAACACGACATGCCCAGGCACATCAATATAGTTGCAAACACAGTACCCGACCCATATAGTTAAAGACAAACCATGGTAAAGCCCAAACCCTACGAGGCCCAGGCCTGACCGTGAGCCAACACCCAAAGTGCGTTTGAATTGTCTGCAGCTGGGAGAAGCTTTAAAGTAGGGATAGCGCGGGATTTTTATGAGGTGCCGAGGAAACCTAGAGGTCATTCAGGATTTATGGAACTGACTTTGGGGTCAGGAACCAGGCCTCTTGTGCGTTGCAGTTCCCAAATGGAATGCAGAGCCCATCAGTGTGCACGCCGTTCGCCGGAACAAGTTATTAAACATCACAAACTCAAGCCTTCCTTCCTCAACCATGTCACTAGTTGGCCGAAGCATTGCTCATAACGAATTGATGTGGCATGGCAGAGGGTCTCCCAAAAAGTCTTAACCTTCGATCCCACCCTGAGCCCTTCACAGCTGCCCAAAACGTTCCCGAGGAGTCGAAGCCGCGACCCGACGGATGCGAATGGCGACCCTCTTGCTGCACGTTCGCCAGGCTGTCCGCTTTCAGGGTTTAGTAGCTTAGTAACTATACAAATAATACAACAATAGTGGTAGCAGTGTATCAGTAGTAACCCTGAAGGTCGATCGTCTCGGGTGCAGAGATTGTTGATGTAAAGTTTGGGGGCTGAGATTCTGCAGGTCAGGGTGCATGCCTAGGATTGATTGGAGTTCAGGGTTTCGGGTTGACAGTTTTGCTGGCTTAGGGATCCCGAGCTTGGGCTTTGAGGCTTCCAGATGTCTGGTTTGGGTACAGGCCTTAAGGGGTTCAGATCTCGGGATTCAGAATATGGAATATTGGATAAGAGTTTCAGGCGGCGAGGTGAGGGAAGGTGAGTTCAAAGTCTGCGGCAAGGTTCGGGGTGTCGGATGTGTCGGGTTGTTTGGGAGTTTGGTGTTGGGGGCTTTGCGTTTAAAGCTCACAGTTGCGGGGGGTTGAGGGTTCATGGCATGGGGTTCGGGTTGCCTCTAGTGTTTAAGGTTCATAGGGCTTCCGGGCTTACGGCGTCGGATTTTGACCCTTGACCATCGCAAGAAGCTGAATATTTGATTCGATCCAACTTCTGCACCAAGCCGGATGCCTGAAAGTTCAGAACTTAATACCGGGCACGTGCTCCACACTCTCAATCGTTAATACGCATGAATTATCCCGGTGCACAAGTCTCAAACGCAATGCCTTCTGATGCAGCTTTTGAGATGAAGCAAGATTGTTGGGCCAACCGTGAACCCATCTAGTAAGAAAGATGAGAAACCCATCAAGTGAGACAATCCTTCTAAGGCAAAATCAGGCCCAGTGGAGTGGCTCTTGTTGTTTGTAGCACAAAGGGCGGTAGGCAGGACAGTCTTGCAGAGTGCTATGCCAGCCCTCCCCCAAAACCAACCACGCAAGATTGGCGTTTGTTCTCATCTGTCGTGACGTCTCTATATTGAAGTACTCGTACAAGAAAGGCGAGAAGTTTGATGTCGATGCAGCTATTTGTGGGGCCGAGTATGTTAGTTCTGCCCAAGGCCCATGAGAGCACTTCTGAAATCATTGTTCTGGGCTGCCCTGAATCCCCAAACCCTACCACTGAAGCGGCTTGCGAGCTGCTAGCTTTGGAGGTTCTGGCCGCGAGTAGCATCCAGCTAAAGGTCGCTGGACGGAAGCGCGGGAGTCCAGATTCACCAAAACTTTTCCGCGTGCCACAATCCCAGAAAACATGAGTTCTGGGAGGGCTAGAGTGTCTAAGAAACCTGAACAGGTCTCTCCTAAAAGGCTGGTGTTTGCAGCAGACTTTTCTGTTCTTGTGGTCCCTACTCAGATTGCATGGTGGGTTTGTCTGCTTCGCTTTGAATGGGTCAGGCATAATGAGGTTGAAGAGTTGGGAAATGTGCGCCTCTTTTTGAGCATGTGGGTCAAGCACATCGAGGAGTTCAAGTTACCCCAACATTTCCCTGCCCTCCATTTGCGCCAGGCAACAGCGTGTTCTCAAAATTGTGATGCCAGTTCTAGTAGACAGCACCTAGTAGATTTTGTATCCAAGGCTGGGACCCAGTTTTTGCCATGTAGAATACGTATTAAGTTCCGGTTCAGGCCCTCGTAAATCTTCCGGCCAGCATTTCAGCTCTATAGGTTAACCCCCTGTTGGCCTCAACGCCGGGCCAGGTCGGAGTACGATGTAGGATTTCTGTTAGCTGGCTCGGGTTCATCATGTATGATGGATGGGTTTAACTGTTGCGCAAGCCCTCTTTAAGATAGAGCCCCCATGCTTGCACGTGTCAGGTGGCAAGAATAAGCGGGGAGCTGTGTGATAGATGCATGTAGTAGGATTGCAGCGACCGAATTCCACACAACACGTTGAGGCGTCATCTTCATATGCTCAGGTCAACCTAGGGCCTCTACTCACCCCAAGACAATGTTTATGCAGTGACAACCCCATGGCAGTTTACGTCGCCGAGGATCCTTACTGCTTGCCATGCACATTGATATGTGAGGTGTAGCCTTCAGGGTCTCACCTTGCACAAGCACTTTCCGAAGACAATGTTGAAGGTGCGAGTTTGCATTTTGGGCTGCTCATCTTGAGAGGTTAGCATCCTTACCCTTGTGCCCTTGTCCCTGATCCCTGTCTGAATCTGAAAGCTTGTCCGAGGCGCCAACGATTGCGGCAAGCAGTCTCTGAGAGTTTCTCATTCCTTTGGTCGTTTGTTTTGTGGGTTCTCCCAAAACGCATGGCACTGAGTCTTACAGAAAATTAGCGAACAAAAACAACGAGCCCGCGTTTTCTCTCAGACCCTAAAGACCTGAACCCGAAACCGCAAACTCTACGCTAAGCCCTTCGCCCTAGTGGTAAAGATAGGTCGAAGGGCCTCTGAATTCGTTTGACAGCACTCTCCCCCTCTCCTTCCTTCTACAGTCTCGCTGGAGCTCAAACCAAGCTGGGCATGTGTGGTTTGGGCTTTGGGTATGAGGTTCTTCGTCAAGAGCACAATGTCCAGAATCTGAAGGAATTACACTTCATACCTGCTTGCCGCGTACCGCATCTGCAGCTCTCCCCGGGGTGGGAGCTCCAGCACAGAGAGGAAGCTTGAGTAGTTTGTGCAGGAGCGGCGTCTCTGGTGTACCCAGCACGTCAGCTCAAACCATGGTCTTGCATTTCTGGTGTTGGCGTACAGGCCTGTGATGTGTTTTTGTGACAGGTAAGGCAAGACCCCACGACTAAAGGGGATGCAAGGTCTGATTGTCAAAGTCCACCGAGCTTCAGTAGATGTAGAGCGGGATATGACCAGGCAACACACCCTAGAGGCGGAGACTTCATGTTTCAAGTGTGTCTTTCCTAGCTGTGCAATCAAGATGTTTACCCCTCCTTTGTCACAGCCCATGAGCAAATCAGCATAACAACAAGCACCGTTTCGAACTGGGCTGCATGCTGGCCTTAGCAGACAAAGCGGTGGCTGGCATAAGCTAAGCCCATCCTGGTCCGTTGTTTTGCAGCTCCGGAATCCAGTGAGAAAACCACGTCTGGGGCCCTACAGCCGCCCACCAAATACCCCACCCTTGGGGGCAGTGATCTCTCTACCTGTGCGGGAAGGATCTCTCCCCGCGGGTGCTTTCCACCAGATCGAACTGTTCAACAGATCGGCTGAAGTTCCTTGCAAGAGCTGGCTGTCCCCACTCTTGTCAAAGTCCTTTTCCGAGCAGTCAATAATTCTGCTGTACAGATTTCAGTGCATGGCACAAGCTCATTCAGAAGCGTCCATCCCAGCATTTTCTCAGACAGGTTTCAGATTCAGAACCTGGGGCCTAGGTTCTAAGCTGTTTAGGACTTAGACTGTCGCTTCACGTGTCTGGTCATTGTTTAGAAGCAAATCGGCAGGTGCGGGGTGAGTCCTAAAGCCTGAACGCTTGCCCCAAGGTGTCAAAGAGGTTGGGGTGTGGGGTTGTGAGAGGTTTTAAGGTGTTGGGGCTTGGTTGCAACCAATGGGGTGCTCACATTTGCAGACATCAGGGATCTGCGCGGGCACTCTTTTTGCCTTTTCGTGCTGTGAACGGCTTCAACGGCGTTACACCGACGCCCATTCTGTAAGAATAACGTTTTTGAGACCCCTAAGAACTAAGCCCTTAATCCCCAAATCCCTGGATCCTAAACCCCTTTTCCAAGCAACTGTTGGCAAAGCTGGGTCACGGACGGCCCTCTGAATTCTTCTGGCAGCCTTCTTCGCCTCTCCTTTCTTCGGCGCTCGCGTTGGAGTTCTCACTAGCTTGGGCGGGTATGGGGTCTAGAGGTTTAGAGCCTGATGTTTTGGTAAACTTCAAGAATAATCCCCAAACACGTTCCAGCAAAAGGATTAGCCTGATATTAGTCCAACCCCCCCCCCGAACCCACCCCCCCTTAACCCATGAAAAATGTGGGTTTGATGATGTGGGCCCTGAACTTTTAGGCTCAGGCTTCAGTGGGTTTAGTCCCACATTGACATTGAGGAGTCCATTGTTGTAATCTTTCGTCTGCTATTTGTTTATTTGTTTGGAATGGACTTGACGGTCCAGGATGTAATCACACAGCCCGCTCAAGAATGAAAGCTCCAGCAGAAGAAGGTGGCTGACAGCAGTTGCGCAGGAGCGTTGTTTCTGGTGCACCCAGAGCTTCAGCTCAACCCATGCCCATGCATTTTTGTCATGGCGCAGAGGTCCAGCAGGAGCCCAAGCCTGAAGTGGATGCAAGGGTCCATATGAGACAGTTTGGGGGGTGAGTGTGTACAATTTTGCATATATATATATATGTAAATGTCCTACCTGACATGGCCCTGTCTCCCCTTGGCCCACGCAAGTCGCAAGCACTCTTCTGCTAGGGGCTGCACAAGTAAGGGGGACATTAAGACACATCCGAAAGGCTCTGACTGAGTGCTCTCCCTGCTTGCTTGATATAACTCACAGCATGCAAGAAGGACCATGGGTCTCGGAAGGCTAGCTGCCCTGCGCAACCTTTGGGTCTAGAGATGCCGTGAGTTTGGATCAGCCCATCTACTCATGAATTTCCAGGGCCTACAACTTAAATTTGGTTTCTAAGCAATGAAGCAGCAGAGAATCTGTACAAAGACCTGACTAGAGGAGCAACATCGAATGGACAACCTCATGCGCCATGTGGGATCACGATATGCGGGGGATATTTGGGAGAATACGAACCCGTCAGATCGCGGTTCCCAACTAGCTAAAGCATACAGCATGTAGGGACAATACGTGGGCTTCAACTTCCATAATTCAGGTGTTTGAAAAAAGTCTAAAGACCACCCTCAACACTCGCTGTTTGGCCTCTGCGCCATACGCCAAGTCCCCTTGGGGCTAGTGATCTCTGCACCTGAGAGGGGAGGATTTCTGGCCAAAAATGCCCAAAATGTGCAAGTTTTCGGGGTCTCCCAATTCCTGATTGGAGAACGAAGTTTGTCTTTTTCTGTACCAGATTTCAGGTTTGGCTCAGGTTCAGCTCGGGGATCGGGTTGGGAGGGCAGGCGAAGGAAGACCTCCTGGATTCAGAGTCGTGGATTCAATGCAGACTTCGCATTGCCTTTCACATCCAGTAAGCGAGCCCAAGATACTTTGAGTACACAAGATTGCTATGATTCAAGATGTTCCTCCAATGAGAGTTGCTCCGCTAGCAGTGCGTGGATCCTGGGAGTTGGACTTGACATGATGCTTTTTGCAGCCACATGCAGCGGGCAGTGCGTATTCAAGCCCAGCACCTTCAGAAATCCCAGACGATGAGCTCTCAGCACTACACCTTTCAGCTTCAAGCCAATCCCACAGTACAGCCAGACAGCAGCCTAGGTTTCAGCAGCATAAAGCCGCTATGCTCCGAACTGTAGCAGCAAAAGAGACAACGACGTATGTGGAACATATGACGAGACGATACTCCTTCCCATGGCAATAGTGGCACAAGCCAAGAGCCTCAGCCATCTCACCCAGAACCAAATCCCCAAACCCACCGCGAGCAGACCACACCATGTTTGCCAGCCAGCACGCGAGTGCACTCATCAGCTGAAGACTCTTTATGGAGGACAGGGCTTGGGGTATGCCTTGTGAGCCGCTCGGATTATGTCGATAAAAGTTTCTTTCTCATTATAGCGAACATCCCACGTGCGCCATCTCTACACTTGAGCTGTGAAGGAATCTATTGTGAATTGAGGGTGGATTGCTATTGGCAACCTCTAGTGTTCAGAATAGGTCTATAAGGTCTACAGGAGTATGCCTGCAACTATACGCGATCCCTTCATACTATTTGTTTTCTGAGCATAGTTTTTTTTTTACAGTAATTCGCTTAAGTTCTTGCACTGGTTTTTTGCGGCCGTGAAATGCGATTCTGGAGTTGCGAGAGACCCCGACCCCATATCCCCAAACCTCATCTGCAGCGCCCTTCAAGCTCCTTCGAAGATGAGCAATATCATTCACATTCGTATAAAGGGTATTTCTTCATTGCTCGTTTCATTCTGTTCTCCTAGCGCTAGCATGCCACTACATTCAAACACGTTCCCACCCAAGACCGACTCAAAATGAGGGGCTGCGAAGTGGAGCCCTCTGATGCAGCCTGCTATTTCATGTCATATACCCAGACATCTTCTGTAAGCCTGGAAACCTAAAAGGCTAAGACCCATGCCGTA